GGCTTCAAATGTAAGGGCAACAGAATTTAAATATATTAAGACAGATCTTCTCTTAATCCTGAGATGTATAACGTGGGTTAGAGGAGAAAAGAGCTGTAGCTTTAGCTTGCTAGTTCTTGTCTTAGCCACCGTGGACTGATTTCTCCACATGTTCTTGTACTGTTCTGTTTTCAGGGACTGCTCTGTTGCTTAGACCAGGCTGCTGCAGGGATGGGGCCCCTGGAAGCAGTAGGCGAAGAAAACCAGACAGATGAAATGAAAATGGAGCTGTTTACCAAGCTGTACTTGCCGAAGTACACCACACCGCTCAACGAATTGGCTCTGGACCCTAAACCAGAACTGAAGGACAGCACAACGCTGGTTGAAGTGCAGATAATCCTCATCTTTGCTTACTGCTCCATCATCCTGCTGGGGGTGATCGGGAACTCCCTTGTCATCCATGTGATCATCAAGTTCAAAAGCATGCGCACGGTGACTAACTTCTTCATTGCCAACCTGGCTGTGGCTGACCTGCTGGTGAATACGCTGTGCCTGCCCTTCACTTTGGTTTACACGCTGTTGGGCGAATGGAAACTGGGTCCGGTGTTGTGCCACCTGGTGCCTTATGCCCAGGCTCTTGCTGTGCACGTGTCTACCGTTACTCTGACGGTGATCGCTTTGGATCGGCATCGCTGCATTGTCTACCACCTGGAAAGCAAAATCTCTAAGCGGATCAGCTTCCTGATTATAGGAGTTGCCTGGGCAGTCAGTGCCCTGTTGGCGAGTCCCCTGGCCATCTTCCGTGAGTACTCATTGATTGAGATAATTCCCGACTTCAAGATCGTGGTCTGCTCTGAGAAGTGGCCAGGGGAGGGGCAGCTTAACTATGGCACCATCTATAGCGTCTCCATGCTCCTGATCCAGTATGTGCTGCCACTGGCAGTCATCTCCTATGCCTACGCCCGGATTTGGACCAAGCTCAAGAACCACGTTAGTCCTGGGGCAGGGAATGACCACTACCACCACCGGCGGCAGAAAACCACCAAGATGCTGGTGTGTGTGGTTGTGGTGTTCGCTGTCAGCTGGCTGCCATTTCACACCTTCCAGCTAGTCAGTGACATTGACAGTCAGGTGTTAGACCTGAAAGAGTACAAACTGATCTACACAGTGTTTCATGTCATTGCCATGTGCTCAACATTTGCTAACCCCCTTCTCTATGGCTGGATGAATAACAACTACAGGACGGCCTTCCTCACGGCCTTCCAGTGTGAGCAGCGGCTGGACTCCATCCACCCTGAAGTATCAGCAGCTTTCAAAGCCAGGAAGAAACTAGAAGCAAAGAGGATTCAATTCCCTGGAGACTCTTTCACACAACCTACCAATGTTTAAGATGTCTGTCTTTAAAGAAATATTGAATATGTGGTGGACAAAAGGATAAATCCATCTTGCCACATGCATTTTTAATGCATAGTTTTAGTCATAAATGGTGAAAAAAAAAAAAGTAGCGGGAAATAAAGGCAAATGGTATGACTTGAGGGGAGCTGGTTGGCATCAAGAGTATGTAACTATACAACTCCAAGGAAATAAAACGGAGAGATTTGGTTTATGGCTGTCTCTAACAGAGTAAGAGGTGCTCCTATCCCTCCCATCTCTTTTTGACAAGTCTAAAGCAGAGTTTGCTGGTTTTGCTCTAGAAAGGCAAATGGCTGATTTCTAGCACAGGAATGTTGACGATGGGAGCAGGTAGTTTTTATGTTGCACATGGAGATCAGGGAGAGCAGAAGTCTGATGGGAGGATGAAGCCTGTCTTGGGGGAATGGGCTGTGCTGGTTAAAGTGCAAAGTTTTCAGACCCATTTTCTCCCGCAGGTACCTTTTGTGAAGATAAGGGAATTAAGAAGAGAAATGTTACTGTTTTTCACTTGTGCTGAAGTACTTCAAACCAGAGCATTTGAAATGAATTAGGGGAAAAAAAAGAAAAGAGAAAAGAAAAAAAAGACCAAACCAACAAATAACCAAGCAACAGGTCCAATGTGAAGAAAGGTCAAGTTTTTCTACCTAAAACCTGTGGGTTTTAGCCAATCCAATGGTCTAAAAAGTCATTCCTTAAGAATCATCTGTGGTTATGCTGGTGAGAAAATCGTAAGCCTGTGACCTGATCAGTCATTCCCTGCAAATCCCTACCTTTCACTCTGCACTGGGAACAGCTCACAAACACAGTGCTTTAAAGTGGCATTTGAGGGCAGGGGATGCAGGCTCAGGTCTTCTGTGAGCACTTCATAAACTGCCAATAGTTTAATTTTCAGAACCTACTTAAATGTCTAATGTGTCATTAACTCCACAGGCTTTGAATTGTTGCTGCTTTCTCCCTGGATAATAAAACAGCAGATAATTTTGATCCTCTGGAAAGGCTGCTAGATGGTAATGTGCTTTTCCTTATTGTGGTTTTATGTCACACACTCGTCTTGAAGCTTTTTCCATCTTTAGCCTTTGTAAAAATTAAGAATGTCTGAATGACTGTAACCTAATAACAGTATGCTAGCTTTATGCAGTAACTTATCAGTTATTCTGCATGCTGTAGTTAATAGTTAAATTCCTTTTTTTGCTCAGGTATAAAATTTTAATCTGTTTACCGTGTTGTACGCAGCAATGTTCAACTCTTCTGTGTCTTTGTTTAGCCTCTTTGAACTCATTAGAGATGAAGAAAATTTCAATCCATATTTATTCCAAGCTGCCCTGTTGCTTATCTAGAATAAAAACAAGCGTGATACTTTCACTTGGAGTCTCTTTTCACAGCTACGTTGCAGCTGCCTCATTTTTTTCTCTCCATTTTTCAGTGTTGCTAAATTCATTGTATTCTCTCTTACAAATTAAAAACCACCAAAACTCCAGTACTGAAGTGTTAGCAATGTATTGAATGGTATCAGATCTTTATCAAGTGGAGAAATTCATCTTTGTGTATGCAGTATTTGGCATCATCCTTTAAATATCCATGAAATCATTTGGACTTGGATTTTCATGAACAGAGAAGTGAGGTCTGGAGAATTAGCTAGTGTTTACTCAAGCAGGAAAAAGTATCCATCATTCTTAACCAGTTTTACAAAAATAGATTAATTCTCAGACATGTTGAGGACATGATATTGTCCACAAGTTATTTTTGTCTGAGTATTAATAATATCCAAAATGTAAGCTCAGAACTGTTGTGTGTGAGGAAGGATTACAGAAGTGTGCAATTATTATGGGCATCAATCACATGTATCAGTTACAGTTGACTCTGAACCCTTCATCAGAAGTATTATTGCCACAAATAGCCTCCATTGTTTAAAAAGCAAATGGTTTAAAAGTTCTGTTTCAACTCTTTTAAGCCTGTTAGAGTGTGGTGTATAGACAGTTTTGAAGTAACCATGACAGCGTGTGCTAAAACTACAATTGCTGGGCTAATTCTCCATAATTTTAAGTCTGCTTTACGTCATCCTGTATAAAAGTGATTAATTACAAATTATCTTTCAGTATATTTCATGGTATCTTTATTTTACTGCTTCCTGAGCTTTCTCTGCAGCCATTGTGTTGAGCCAAAGCTAGTACACTAGTTTATTGCATTGCTTTCCTCTCTGCTGTGTGTAGGTGCTGCCTGGGTCGGTGCCTGTTTTAGGGTCACATGCACAGTGTCCCACTGCATGGTGTGGATTTTCCTGGGGGTACTTGAAGATGGGATGTGGAAGAGCCAGCACACAGCCTGCCACATAGCTTGATCGCTCCTGCACGAACACAGCTACACCCTTTAGTACCTCTTCATGTTGGAGGAAAATTAGGCATTTTTGTCACCAAAAGCAATGAGACAGCAACATCCCTCAGTTGCCCCAAATCCCAACTGTCAGAAGGATGTGGAAAGCCAGGGTTTGTCCCCATTTCCTCCTAAGGGAAAGTGAACTTCTAAGTAGCCTCTAACCATTGGACTGAGAAGTCTGGAGGGGAGCCTCTGCTTTGCCTGAAATAGGAACTGGAATCCAGGTCTCCCCATTCACCCATTAGTGCTTTAATTCATTTTTTTGAAAGCACAATATTCTTTTCCTATTGGAAAAGGTACATGTTTTATACAAAGCAAAAGAATACCAGGAGCAACCCTTACTGAAGAATCTGCAAGCAGGCGGTGTGGCACCCAAAATGAAATGCCATCCGTGATTCAGAGCAAGAATTTGAACCGACACACCTCAGTTCGCAGGAGAGTGACCCAGTCAGCACACGGCAGCCTCTCCTGAGGTAGCAACATATGTCTTCTTACAGCTATTCTGCTGTGTATAAAATAACTCAACTTTAAATATTATGATTTTATGGACAAGTGGTTATGACCTTTGCACGGTACTTGGCTTCCAGGCCAAGGATATCAAAACAGAATAGACAGAATTTAAGCTATTGCCCCTAGTTCTTCATGAGTATTTCTACTATGAAAATACTGCAATACAGACAGGAGGAGTGCAAGTAGAGTAGCATCATGCTAATCTCTGTGACTCTCATTTGGGGTTAGCTTATAAAAGGGGGACCTATCCACCACATGGATCCCATCAGATGTAATCTAGGATCTTAGCTGCTCAGCATTTAGCTAGTTCTGGGCCTCACTGGAAGAACACATTTTGATGCTTTGCAGATTTTACTGTCAGAAATGAGACTCCAGGCTTAGGCAGCAGCAGAGTCCTGAACAGTAAATAATTAGATATGTACAGCTGCACCAGTACTTTCTCCCAGCACTGGCTGGGCACAAGCTATCTCAAGCCTGGGGGCAGAAGAGCCACACTCATGCTCCCCTGAGGCTCTCATTCTTTGCCTCAGAGGAAGACATGGCAGCATGGGACCAGCTTACAGGCACAGCACCATGCTGCTTCTGGACAGGTGTTAAAAGTCATGTTGCCTCTTTAGGGCTGCAGCCATTGGTCTACAAGTGGAGAAGGGGATGTCATCCTGAGTAAGTTTGCCTGGGTATTCTGGGAGGCCAGTGAAGCTGGTTTTTTGGTATGTGAGGACAGTGCTGAACCATCACCTAGCCCCATGAGTAATCTGTCTTCCCTGAGAATTGTGATCTCCACATAGAGCAGCAGGCTATTCCTGAGCAGAAAGTATAGCATTGTGAATCTGAGAAAAAATAGATCTGAGGGTATAAGCAATTAAAATAGAGGGACTAAGCCTGGGCAACAAATTGATTTAGTATACACATCTGTGTAGATATAAATTGTATGGCAGAGCTGTGCAAAAGCTGTTCGGTAGGGTTTAGTTTGTTGGAATTAATTGTTGCCCCACAATTGCTATAACCACGTCTTGTATAAAATGTGTAATGGACATACATATATTGCCAAAATGCTAGTAAGTTAGGTAACACTAAGAGTAATAACTGAATGTAAAATAATATCTGCATTTTATCTGTCAGACCACAAAAAACCCACTGAATTCACAGATTAGTATAATCTACTTCCTTGCTTCATAGTTTCTAAACTCAGTGATTTTTCTTATATTAATCCAGATAATGACCTTAAGGGATGAATTTTGTCTTTAGATCCCTGAGTTCTTTACCTGGTGCCATGAATATAAATGCCACACCACAACAAGGGAGCTACTTTATGCCAAATTACAGGTTCTTTGCCCTAAGAAGCTAGGAGATGTATGTAAATCTATGCAAGGTTAGTGTTGCTGAAGAGCCATGGTTTTAAGACTGCAGTTGTATTGGGTTTGCGTGGCAAGGTTT